TAATTTTATAAATTATCTCAAATAAAATAAATAATAATAAAAATAATAGAGATCAAATCTAAAAAATAAAAAAAATTAAAAGAATGAGAACCAAATTTCATGAATAAAACTTTTCAATTAAAAAATAATAAGAAAAAAGTAAATAAAAATTAGAAAAATAAGGATCAAATTTATTTCATGAAATTGAAAAAAAATATAATTACATAAATTATCTCAAATAAAATAAATAATAATCAAAATAATAGAGATTAAATATAAAAAAAATAAAAAAATAAAAAATGAAATTAAAATAATAATAATTACTATTTCATAAATTATTTCAAATAAATAAGTAATAATTAAAAGAATGAGGACCAGATTTGATAAATAAAAAATTTCAATTAAAAAATGATAAGGAAAAAGTAAATAACAATTATAAAAATAAGAATAAAAATTAATATAAAAATTAAATTTTAAGGGATAAAATTAAAAAATATTCAAAATAAAATATATATAGCAATCAAAGGTTTAATAATTAAATTTGATATAATCAATAAATAATATTACATTTCTAAATTGTTTATAATTTTTAAAAAGTGTTTTTCGTCCAAAACAAAAGGAAAATACTTTTCTAAAAACCAAGTTAAATTTTTATTTAACTGAAAAGTATTTTTTAAGGTATTTTACATTAACTAACTTTTTTAATAATAAATAAATATATAAAAATTTAAAAATTAATTCATAACTTTATAAAAATAGCTTGGTTGTTTTGGTAATGTCTTCATCACCACCAGAAGATGGAATCGTTTACAGTGCTAGTGGGGTTCAATATGGATCCCAAGTGGCTTAACTCAACCTAAAGAGTATATCATTTGAGCCATTTATGGACGTAGATGACAAACCACTACGGTTGAATTATAAGAATAAGGATTAATTTTATAAATAGAGGAAATATAAAGGACTGAAGTAACAATAACTTTTTCATTCTCGTCAACAAGAGAGGAGATAAAAAGCGTCGAAAAGAAAAGGAAAGTACCCAGGAGACTCCCCCCGATGAAACGACAGCTGTTCGTGAGTTTAATTTTATCTCTTTTTTATCATTTGGATATGTCCTAGTTGGGTCTTTGTTTGTTGAGACAATTGATTCTTTAGGTTTTGGCTTTCCAACGTTGAAAAGTTGGAAAGCTGTTGTCTTTTAGTGGTTGCTTGCATATTCGTCCGCACTCCCCGCTGTGGCTAAGACTGTTTTAAAAAAAATATTAAATACGAAGATTTTCCTGTGATAGTATCGTCACATCCAGTGAAAAGCAGTTTGATATTAAAACATATTAACGTGATTTTTTAAATTTTTTTAAAAAATAAATTTTAGGTATGAAGATTTTTTTATAATATTGTTAAATTCAATCAAATAATTTAAAAATTATTATTTTAAATTTTAAATTAAATTTGGTTCAAAAAAATTATTCAATTAAAAACATTTAAGATTGTTATAATTTTATATAAAGTAAAAAAATATAAGCTATAAATTTTATTTCACAACCAATCTAATATTGAATAAAATTTAAATAAATAAAAATATTAAGTTTGATGAGTAAACATTTTAAACCTATGAATTAAGTAACTTGTGTTAACATGTTAAATTCATAAACTAGGTAATAAATTCCGTTATAATTATTAACTTGTTTTTTTAAAATTATTATTATTTAATTATATGATAATAAAAATAAATAATCACAAAATAAAATATTAAACTAAAATTAAGATTCTTTTAAAAATTAAAATAACCTCATAAAAAATAAAATAAATTATAAAACTTAATTTTTAACTAGTCTAGCATCAATGAATGAAATTGAATATATATATATATATATAAAAAGACTTATCACACATGTCAACAAATTCATAAACTTTCCAAAACTTAATAACATATTTTTTTTCAAAGATATTTTATTGACCATGTGACAAGAAAAAAAATAAACAATCATATAATTAAGTTAAATTAAAAAGAAAACATCACCAACTATAAAAAAAAAATTAAGTTATTTTATCAAACTTATAAACTAGATTACTAACGACAACAATTTTAATAACCTATTTTTTTAATATTATTTTTTATTTAACTATTTTTTTTAAATAAACCATGCCAAGGATAATTTTATAATATTAACCAAATGTTAGAATTTTTTATATCATAATAATTATATAAAAAAATTAAAATAAATTATCTATTCTAAATTTCTATAAAACCACCGTACAAAAACTAAATTAAAAAAATCTATAACGAAAGAAAAAAAGTTAAAAAAAAATCACTAAATTGCTATTGTAATTCACAATGTTAACAGGGGCTTCGTGGGTCCTGACCTGTGAAACGGGGCCCGTCTCTCGTATTTGGTGTAAAAATTAGATTGCTTGATTTCTTTTATCTTTTTTGTCTCTCATGCAAGCACCGAAAAATATGAACGCACAAAGGCAAAGTCTAAACTTGCTGCATGGCTGTAAACACTGCCAAGGAATAAAAAACAAAACAACTCCCAGCCAAACATAAAAATAATATATAATCATTGTAAATAATGTTCCAATCATTTCCAGTTCTATCTTCTCCAGAGCAGAAAATTGTATGGAGGTATAACCTGTTTCTAAAAACATTTCGTTCCAGAGAGCTGCAAACATATGAATGAATGAATACATGATGTATAGCTTCTCCGCTCGAACACATCAAAGAATTTCTCCAGACATTAGCTGATACCCAACTCAGCAAAACGAGTTCCTCCAACAGTCTTTTGGTGTAGTTTTTCCACATTTTTTTCTTCTCTCTGATATTCTCCATCCTCTCATGCAGTTTTACCATTTATCTATTCTTCAACCACAATCCGAACTTGTAATCTTGGCTACCCTAAACAAACCATAAAATTAAAAGCAATTGAAAGGTGAATCTTTGAGAAATGTTCTCGACCTGTTAGTCAGTCTTGCATGGCATTTTCACTGGCGAGTTTTTTCAAAAGGGCTGTCAGCAGGGCATCTCTTCGCTTGGCCCTGCTCTCTTCTCTTATCCTCCTCTGTTCTTCTCTCTCCCTCCAGGCCTGCTCGATCACTAATCTCTCCCTCTCGAGCTTATCCATTGACCGTCGCCCTTCCTGCTCCAACATCTGCCACTCATGAGCACGCTTTTCCATCAACTCCCTCCACTGCATCTCCATCTTCTGTTGCTGTTGGAAGAACTCCTTGAGCATTTCTTGAACACCACCAAAACTACTGCTTGCTCTTGGAGACTTCTCCGCCACATTTTTTTCACCCTTCCTTCTCCTAGAATTGTTTCTAGCTGGCTTCTCCTCCTCACTTTCATCCTCATCCACATCTTCTGATAATTCATCAGAGGATCGATCTCCATTTATTCTTTTCACTTTCTTCCTTGACTGGGTGGAACCTGCCTCGGATTCAAGAAGTAGTCGCTGCATGTTCTTGGCTCTTTCAGTGAACACCTCATGCAGTTCCTCAAAGAACGGGCATTGCCGGCCAGTCTCGGAATCAGATGTCTCTTTTACCTGATTAATTGCCATCAACAGTGTTCATTAAAAAAAAAGCATGGTGCACAGGATGGACGAGTACACCAATTTAACATATCAATCACATACTGGGTGAAAATCTCAAAAGACCAAAGAGACTACAATAATGGAACTATTCCGAAGATACAGTAGAGGGTGCTCCATAATATTCTACTTTTAGACCAAAAAAGATGCAATTTAAGAACTTTATCAGATATACATTAAGCTTTACCAAACAAGAGAGAGAGAGAGAGAGTAGCAGGTGAAAAGGACAGCTTTTTTAGAACCCATTTCTCACTACATTCAAAGACAAGTGAAAACAATACCTTGTAAAGACTGACGAGGTTATTCCACTTGCACTTGCATTGTTCAGGTGTCCTTCGGTAGTACCCTTTCTCTCTCATTTTAGCACTCACTATTTCCCATAACGTCTCGTTCCTCTTTGTCACTGTAAAATCCTTCTCCAACTCCGCTCTAATACCAATTAACTCCTTCGTTTCTTGCAGTCCCCACTGCGGATGTTGCGGTGGCGGACCCCTCGGGGAGATCTCCGTCGTTGGACTTAGGATCGCCGCTGTTGGCATCATGTTTATCCACCCTAGCCCAACGTCTCCTTCTCCTCCTCCACTGCGAAACATCATCTTTATGGTGTCGTATTAGGGTTATATAAGGAAAGCTATCTGAATCTACCGTGCTGCTTTTTATTTATTTTTAGTGGAAGCCGAAAGCGAAAGCGTGTGAATTTGCTGTTTTTTGGTACTTTATTTTCTTTGCCAAACGAGACAAGTCATATTATCATTTATTGAACTTTACAGGAAAGTCGTACGTCCTTTGTGGGTGGGCCCTTGATGTTGGAGAATACTTTTGTAATTTTTTTAATTATTTTAATACACAGATACTACAAATAATAATAAATGAATAAATTCGTGCTTGGAACCAAATTTTTCTGTATAAAAAAAAGAAAAAGTTAGGCGATACTATCACTAAAAAAAAACAAATTTGTTTTTTAGACTTAAGTAATTTACTCGACTTGATTTGATGAGTGTGATTAATTTGACTATATTATTAAAGAAAATAAAAAATAACAATAAATAAATCAAATTAAAAAAAATATATAATGGTCAATTTAAAAAATAAATATTTGTCAATATTACAAAAAGAATATATCATTTCAATATTTAATAATAAAACAAAAATTAAATAAAAACATGAGCTAACCACAAACAAAATAAAATATAAAATATAAAATTTAATTTTCATTAAATCAAATCAAGGTATTAAAAGATAAAAATAAAAAATAAAAAAATCAACACAAGTCCATTTAAGTCGTCATTTCAAATTCACAATATAATCATAAGACTGTGATAATTTTTTATAAAACAAATTGAATAAAACAACAATGTTTTAATCTTATACAACTTAATGTTTAAGAGTTAAACTTAAAAGGGAATCTTAAAAAAAAAATCAGGTCAACTCACTAAAAATATGATTTGAGATGTGAGATCGGAATAATCTTATTAAAAGGAATACGAAAAAAATTATGAAACTTGATTTCAAACCAATCCAGTATTAAATGATAAAATTAAAAATAAAATTCATAAAATTAACTTGAGCTAGTCTTCAAAACTCACGATGTAAGTCATGAGACTTTGATTAATCCCACAAAAGGCAAGATTGAAAAATTCATAAAGTCAAATCTTTAATTCACAAAATATCAACTGATAAAATTGAAAGAACAAACCAATAAAAAACAAAATAAATAGCAACCAACAAAATAATGACTAAAATTATTAGATTTATGAGGTGCAACATGTCGGGGGTGGTCCTATAATTTTTTTCACGGTAAAAATAGATGTTGTAAGCAACTCTAATGCCATCAATGAAGCTAAAAAAGACTAAGACCGAGTTATTAACTTAATCGAGTTTAGTAAGCTTGTATAATTTTAATATGAATAAAAAAATACAATGGTAATAAATAAATTAACAAAAAAACAATAACAAAAAAAAAAAAAAAACTCAAGTTTACTTGGGTTAACATATTAAATCAGCGACTTTGATCATGATTTTGTAGAAAATAAATTGAATAAAACAATAAAAATTTATGTATAAAACAACTTAGTATTGAAAGGTATAATTGAAAAAAATAATAATTACAAAAGCATAAAAAATATTTAAGTTAACCTAAGTTAACTTATTAATCCTGCAACCATGGATATAATATTGAGATAACCTCGTACATAAGAAAGTTTAAAAAAAAACATGAAAGATAATTTATAATAAATCAATTGTTAAAGAATAAGATTAAAAAAAATATTTAAATCTTAAAATATATATAAAAAAAAAATCAAAATCAATATTAAAAACTTATGATCTATATTATGATCCAGGACTACTGTAATAGAAAGATATCCTGAGAAATAACAATATGGAATTCTTAACTCTTAGCCATACAATATTGAGTGCTAAAATTGGGAGGAAAAAAAAAGCAATAAAAAAAATTAAATCAAAATGAATAGTGATAAAAATAACAATGATCAAATTTAATATTAAAATAAATTAAAATCAAATGTTAAAATGAGAAATTAAAAACAAAATTTAATTTAAAAAATGATAAAAAATAACAATTAAAAAAATAAAAATCAGATTTGATATGAAAATTAAATAAAATCAAGAAAATAAATTATATATATATATATAAAGAAACAAATAAAAATTAAAAAAGTGAAAACAAAATTTGATGTAAAAAACAAATAATTTTTTTTTTGTATTTCATCAAGAATAGAGAAAAAAGAAGGATAAGAAAAAAAAAATCCATTATAGCCGCAATGCCAATACGCTGCTTATAAATGCTTGTGATTGTGAAGATCTCAATATGCTGCTCCCAAAACAGCTGTAAAAGACGATGCCTGGCTTTTGAAAGATTTTGGATTAGCCGTTCGAAGAGTGCAGGCCCCTGCCACTTGCCACCAACATTTATTTATTTCTATCTATTAAAACACCAAATTGATCTTTACTCCACTTGATAATAAATAAAAACAAGATAGAATGTCCGGTTAATAGTGTAAAATGTCCGGCCAAGACTGTAATGGAAGATGCATTTTTCACTTATAAATATACTAAAATAATACTTTTTATTATTTTTAAAATTTATTTTTAACACTATAGAAATAAAAAACTAGAAGACTAATTCACCTCTATTCAACTTAACAATAATAAATAAATTAGGTAAAAAACACCATTTTTTCACCTTTAAAAGCAAGCAAGTTTAGAGAGCATCCACGGTAAAATAATGTCTCCAAAAAGAAACACAATATCCCATTTCGTTTTTTTTTAAATATTTTAATTTAAAAATAATAATATTTTAATTTTTTTAATATATTTTTAAATAAAAATTATTTTATAAAACAATCGCCAACGTAAACACAACAATAATAATACTCCCCTGCCGCTCCCCTCTTTGTGCTCCATTCTAGTTCCAAACCAGCTCCAAGAGTTTAAAAAATTCCCAGTGCTTCAATCACATAACCATACTTTTAGTTACTGAATCTGAAAGGAACTGTTCTTCGCTGACATTTGAAACATCAAAGATATACAAACATGCAACATCGATGCTACAAGAAAATCAACACTGAAGCCATATAAATTGATCGTTTCCATTGTTCAGATGACAGAACAGTCACCCGCATTCATTGACAAAATGGCCGCCCACGTTCAATGACATCCTGCTTTGACAGTTCTGAAACACAAGGAGAACGCGTTTCCAAATATTTGAATTTATACACAGAGTGACTATAATAAACCAGCTCGATCCAGCAGGAGGCTTCTCTATTGGATGTTCGGAGACACAGTGATCACCCGGTTGATTACTATTCGCTAGCTGAACCTGAAAGTCACAACGCAACACTTGTCTAGCATAAATCAAATCTAGAAAACAGAAGTCCAAAGATCTCCGACTGCCTCTGTAGAAGAATTGTCAAAAACAAAATCTTTGAAATCGATCTGAACAAAGAAAATTGAAAAGGATCGATGCAAAAAAGAATATTCACACACAAAACTGTTGATGAGGTAACTATACTCTGTCATATCTGACCAGAACACAATCTGAGGTTGATCACTGACCATGAACTCCCAAACTCCATGTCCGAGGTTAATCTTGACTAGATTTCTTATCAACTCCGTCGAAGATACGACTATTAGTGCGCCCCGGTCCTTTCCTACCGACTACTCTCATTAAATTGCGGTGAGTGAATGGCCACTTTTTTTCCATAAAGGGACCTACCATGACCGCTCAAACACAAAGTATTGAATAAACGTAGACAGATTTTATATAAACAAGGACGAGAGATAAGCAGACATTTCTAGAAAAGAACACACGTCATTCAGCAAGTCCATGACAGGGATTGTGGTTGAGTCGTCAAGAGCAGATTTCGATGCAGGCTCGGAATCCCAAAGAGGTCTTATCCAACAACCATGGCTCGGAATTTCAATACATTCAAAGCAATGGTTGAGTGTGTTTGGTAGCTGTTATAGCGGTGGTGTTAAAAATAAACGTTTTTATATATAAATAATAAAAGTTTTATAAAAAATATTTTTATTTAAGGTTAGTTTTATATTTATATATTTTTAATTAAAATTATGTTTAAAATTAAAATTAAATAAAAAATATTTTAATAAAAAATATTTTTTAAATTAAAATTATAAAATAACTATATAACATACACACACACACATATATATATATATATTAATATTAATAATATTAAATTTAAATATTATAAATTTAATTATTATTATTATATCATAAAATAAATAATACTTTATATAAAATATTTTTTATTATTTTATTAAACTATCTATAATTACATTATGTATAAAATTCATTTAATAAGAACTATAGTTTTCATGCTTTTTTAAATGTGTAATAAAATTAAATAAAATATTATTAAGAATAAAATTAAGATTATAGTATAAGTAAATTTAATTTACTCTAAACTATTTTTTTTTTAAAATTGTTCATGTAAATAGTGTGAATAAAATCAATTTACTATATTGATTTTTTTTTAAAAAAATACTATTTACATAAGCAATATAAATAAATTAAAATTTATTTGTATTGTTCGTTTTAGTGCAAAAAAACAAAAAACGCAGTCAATATCTGCTTTGATAAAATCTGCATTTAAAACGTAATAGGTAGCAAGTTCTATTATAAATAAATTGTATTTTTGTATTTATTAATAATTATTTGGTTGTGGTTACTGTAAATAATATAATCTTTAAAGCCTCAGGTCCTTGTCTTGGTAGCATTCTAAACACAAAATCAGAACCTTTAAAATATTTAAGTGTTGAATCGTTGATTATCTGGAATTTCTTTTTGTACCAGTTTCATACCTTTGGAAGTGAATTTATATTTTTTGTTTTAAAAATGACATGCAAGAATATTTATAAGAAATTAGTGGTCGTTCAACAATTTTTTTTTTTTTTGGTAAATCACACCAAAATTCAAGGCAGTTTCAACTAGTTATAAAAACGTGATAAGTGTTAGGTTGGTTGTCATTAATGTGCAACAACTATTGACTATTGCACCAACCATGTGTACTCATCCAAGATGTCAAAGATTGACAGCCACCATTGTTGAAGAAGAGCTGGAGGTGGCAGCTACCTTTATTGAAGTAGAGCCTCCATGAATGCCTATAAATAGAGGCATGTGTTAGAGAGCAAAATGTGAGTGAAGAGAATTATGAAAATGTGA